ATAAATTATAAATAAAAACCAACACAAACCACGCTGCAGCAATTAACGAGACAGGGCAGGATAAGGAATTGCAGACTTCCAAAAGATAATGAAACACACACACTTGGGAGGATGCCAGAACCCAGATAAGACTTCACAAACAAAGATAATTCACGCTTTGCTTCCAGCAAGGTGCTGTGCGCAAACACCCTTTTTAAATCCTGTTTCCCAGCTGCAGCTAATGAAGGGAATCAGGGCCCTTTTCTCCCCCATTGCTCCCTTCTCTGTTGGTCCCTTCTCCGTTCCTCCCTGCGTGCCCAAGGATGAAGAAGGGGTGGGCCTGGGTCTTCCTCTGAATTCCCTCTCCCTTGCTCTACCTCTCCCCCACTCTGCCCAGCTGGACTTTGCCCTTCCCCAGGTTCCTCCACAGCCAACGGAGCCACACTCCCACTCCCTGTCAGATGTTCGACCTCCCCCTCGGAATCAGATTCCAACAGGGGCAGGACAATCTCATTTGAACGCAACCAAATTATAAGTAGTCCTCAACTTACAGCCATTCATTTAGTGACTGTTCAAAGTTACAATGGCACTGGAAAAAAAAGAGTCCTATGACCATTTTTTACACTTGCGGATGTTACATCCCCCCCTGGTCACATGATCAAAATCCAGACCCTGCTATACGCCATGTGTCCAGGACTCATGGGATCACCTTTTACACGTAAACTCAATGGGGAAAATAGATTCACTTAACAACCGTGTGGCTAACTTAACAACTGCAGTGATTCACTTAATAACGGTGGCAAGAAAGGTCATAAAATGGGGTGAAACTCACTTAAAACTGTCTCACTTAGCAACGGAAAGTCTGGGTTCAATTGTAGTCCTAATTTGAGGGCTACCTTGTCTCCCTGTCATATGTTTAACTTCCGTGAGATAGTTGGGCTTTGGGGGGAAAGGACAATTCCAGCCCACCCAGCCTCTTCCTGAGCACCAGACACGTGGCACCCACCCCTGGGCAGCTCTCCCGGTTTCTGAGCAGGACCAGCCTGTGGGGGCCATAAAGGTGTGGTTTGCTCCACCAGTGAGGCTGGGCCAGGCTCTATGAAAGCCGGGGGGGGAGGGAGGGAGGGAGGGAGTGGGTGCCAAAGGAGGAGTGTGCACACTCCCCGCGTGTGAGCTGGTCAGCCACAGAGTTCCTTCCTTCCTGAGAGTTGGGCAGATAAAAGCTTTCAGCAGCATTTTGCAATCACCTTGCTCAGAGAGAGAGAGAGAATAACGACAGCTTTTGGCGTTGGGAGGATCATTTTCCTTCCAGGGGAAGTGAGGCGGCTCGCTGGCAGAGGAGTCCTCTCCAGCGAGCAGAGTTGTGGCACCTGAGCTCGCCTAAGGTAAGGGCTGGGCATCCCAGCCTCTTTCGTCCTTCCAGGGTCCCTCGCGCTGCTTTAAGGGCCATGGCTACGCGCAGAATGTAGCTGTGGGCCAACTGGGGTGCCTGCGTGCCTTTTGCCTGCAGCTGCCGCTAACGTGATGCTGGACTCAGTCCTGTGGCCAGAGGGCAGGGGTTTGGCAAGGTCCCATTTCCTGAGTGCCCAGCCACAGCCACATGGGGATGGGGGGGGGGTGCTGCATGCCAGGAGGCCAGATTGCAACCAAAATGGCTGGCAAGGAGCAGCTGGGAACTTGCTCTGGCGTCTGGCAAGATCATCCAACCGAGAACGCTGACACCAGGCATCTGGGGGGGTGGGGGCTGAGCCCCTTTTGTCTACTGGTTCCAGCTGGAGAGCTACTGTCGTAAGGGCAGGATGGATGGAGGCTCAGTTTGACAGCATTTTCAAGGGTGGGTGATAAGTGTTGCTCAGGATCCTCCTAGTAGTTGATATGTGGGGAGTCACACTTCCAGGTCATCTACATTGGAAAGCTTCGTTGCTCCGATCAGCAGACAAATTTTCTTTGCTTGTCTTCCTTTTTTTTTGGGGGGGGGGGGGGGGGGGTTAAAATTGTCATAATATAAAATACAAATAAAAACAAAGGTAGTAAGAATTTGGAAAGGGAAAGAAACGGGAAGGAGAAGCATAGGCTAAAGGGGGAAATGAAAAAAGCTTTGACTCCCAAACTTTTTTCAGCACAGTAAAATACAAAGTAAAGTAAAATTACTTTTAGGTGCTAAATAGGTACTACCCATTTGCATAACAACAAACTAATTTAACAGCAAATCTCAAAGTGAAGAGGTGCCTCAAGCCTACAAGTGCATTCGGAACAAAACTAGATATATTCTTTTCTCTCATTAAAGGCTCAACATTCAGAAGGATCTTGACAGGCTTGAGTTCTGTGCCACACGTTGCTATTCAGTGGTGAGAAAAGAAAGTCCTGCACTTGGGCAGGAAGACGCCCAGGTATAGAATGGCTCAACCTCCATAACTGTGAGAGGGTTCTAGGTTTCCTAGGGGGTCACCATTTAAGTCCATGTCAGCAGGTCCTGCAGCTGCCAAAAAAGCCAATGCAGCATCAATAAAGAGGCAGCATCAAGATCACGAGAAATGATATACTGCTTTATACTACACTAGTGAGGCAACACTTGGAATTTTGCATCCAATTCTGGTCACCATAATACAAAAAAAGATGCTGAGACCCTAGCAAGAGTGAAGACAAGAGCAACGAAGATGGTTAGGCTTCTGGAGGTTAAAGCATTTGAAGAACTATTGAGGGAGCTGGGTATGTCTAGCCTACTGAAGAGAAGAATTAAGGGGACCCGATAACTGTTTTCCAGTTCTTGAGGGGCTGCCAGTGGAAAGAGGTCTATTCTTCAAAGCACCAGAAGGCAGGACAAGAAGTAATGGGTGGGAGCTTGTTAAAGAGAGGTCCAATCTTGAAGTAACTTCTTGACACTGAGCACAATTAATAAATGGAACAGCTTGCCTCCCAGAGTTGTGGGTACTCCCTCACTGGAGGTTTTCAAAAATAGGCTGGACAACCACTTGACCAGAATGGTATAAGATCTCCTGCCTTGAGCAGTAGATTGGACTAAAAAAATAGAATAGAATAGAATTCTTTTATTGGCCAAGGATGATTGGACACACAAGGAATTTGTCTTGGTGCAAATGCTCTCAGTGTACATAGAAGAAAAGATACATTCGTCAAGAGTTGAGAATCATAAGGTACGACACTTAATAATAGTCATAGGGGACAACAAGCAATCAAATCATACTAGGAAACAGTCAATATAAATCGTAAGGTTACAAGCGACAAACAGTCATACAGTCACCAGTGGGAGGGGATGGGCTATAAAGAGTGATGAAAAGATTAACAGTAATAGTAGTGCAGACTTTGTAAATAGTTGGACAGTGTTGAGGGAATTATTTGTTTAGCAGAGTGATGGTGTTTGGGAAAAAACTGTCCTTGTGTCCAGTTGTTCTGGTGTGCAGTGCTCTATAACATTGTTTTGAGGGTAGGAGTTGAAACAGTTTATGTCCGGGATGTGAGGGGTCTGTAGATATTTTCACAGCCCTCTTTTTGACTTGTGCAATATACAGGTCCTCCATAGAAGGCAGGTTGGTAGCCATTGTTTTTTCTGCAGTCCTAATTACTCTCTGAAGTCTGTGTCTGTCTTGTTGGGTTGCAGACTCAATCATTCCTCTGTAGAACTGGATCAGCAGCTCCTTTCTGAGCTGGCGCAAAAAGAACATTCTTTGTTGTGCTTTTTTGATGACGTTTTTGATGTTAGGTGTCCATTTTAGGTCATGTGATATAATAGAACCTGAGGTCTCTTCCATCTCTATGATTCTATGTTAATTTTGGCAGCTCTGCTGATTCAAATTCTCTTTGCTCTTCCACTCAACAATTTGGGTGACTCTTGCGAGCCACTGACCTTTCTCACCATCAATGGGCCAACCTCCAACTTCCAAACCCCAGCAGCCCATCACTCTGGTCCAGCAATTCAGCCTCTTATTCTCTCCAGGGTAGAATCGACACAGGTGTCCAGCCTCTTATCCAGGAGGTTATAGCTCACCAGCTCATAATGGGATTGGATCAGAGCACTTAAGACCAGGTATTGATCCAAAACCCCTTTCTTGGAGGATGATTGGCATTTTCATAGCAGCCTCCATGCCAGATATAAGCCCCTTAATAATAGCCATCATGCATCAACGCAGCAAGTGTGCCCAGCAGGTGAACTGCCCCTTATGAAACATGCAACAGAGCAGTCCACAGTCCATGGCTCAGGTTTCCATGATATACTTGCCTACACATAACTGGAGGCTTTCTTGGAGCTTGGGCACTGTCCTTGCCAGGATGAAGGCCTATAAGCCACAAGACTCCTTGGTCAGGACCAGGCGAGGCTGCTTCCCCAAACAAACCACTGCTTTGAATTCACATTTGTACGTCAAGTAGCGGATGGGGAAGAGGGTCCTTCCCTGCACCCAAAAACAGTCCAATCGTCCACCCAGTCCTGTTTAAGCTCCTGTCCAGTCAGTACAGCAGTCCTGCAGCTGCAGCCAGAGTCACTCCAGGCTCTGTAACTCCAGCCACAGCTGCTTTGCAGACTGAGATGGGCAGACAAAAGGATCAAAGAAAAGCAAGTTGGATGTGTTTAGCCTATAGCCATTCAGTGACTCTACTGAAATTCTAGACAAATAATTATTTTTATTTTATTATTTCTTGAATGTGCAACCCCAGAATGTATAAACCACCAACTTAACAATATTTTTAGTGTACTGAAACTTGATGGCACAGCGGGCAGAGGCACAGATGTTGTCGAGAAGGTGCTAATGCCCCTTTGTGTGGCACACAAAAGGAGGATGAAGTCCGAGCCTTTTGCCACTTTCCTCTTTGAGGCCCCACAGTCAGCCAAGCCCATGTTCCTACCAGGAAGCCGACCAAATCCTGCACAAGGGGCAGGCCATAAGGTGAAGTGCTGGAAGCTGCCTGAATGTCTCTTTCTGTAAATTGCAGGACTAAATGTTACACTGCCTGAGCCAAACTATGAGAAGCCCATGGGATTCCTGGGCAAAGATGCTGGGATACACTTTTTTCCTCCTCTGGATGCCAGGAGGTAGGTGCCCGTGACTCCAGCTGGGGTAGCCTTGGGGGAAAGGGCCGGCCACCCCCTTGGGCAGGCAGGCAGCCACCCGCCTTGCCATTCATTGCTTCCAAATCTTTTCCCCATCTTCAGCGGGGTCCTTCTCCTGCAGTCACTTGGCTGTCAACTCCTCAGTTGTCATCTTGGGAGGAAACATCACAGCTTCTTGTACCATCTGGAGAAACCACTGCCCCATTGCAAAGGATAGCAAAATCCAGATTATTTGGAAATTGAGCAACCAACAACTTCAAGGATCCCAGTACAGCTTAAGCAATGGAGTGGAAGTTTCCAACATCACTCTCGGCCCCTTCAAGGAACCTGTGACTCCCCTGAGCTGCTACCTGCAGGAACATGATATCCCACAGGTTGTGAACCTTACCCGGATCAAGGCTGGATGTAAGTCTCACTGCAGGGATCCAAGGAGAGTGTCCACTGTGCAGTGATCATAAAGAAACCTTTGTATTGCCTGTTTATGAATCATAACAGGTAATAATCAATAATATCATTCATAATCCAACACTGGGACCAAAATCCCTTACAAGCGGGATGTGATTTTTAAAACTCAAAATGGTGGCCACGAAGTAGTTTGGATCATATCTTTGCAGTCACCATTTTTTGTGACCCTCAGCAGACACTGCAATTCACTTATACCGCATCCAGATTTGATCACCACCATACAAAAAAGATGTTGTGACTCTGGAAAGAGAGCAGAAAAGAGCAATAAAGAGGATTAAGGGCTCTGGAACATATAAAGAATGGTTGCAGCAATTGGGTTGTTTAGCCTCGTGAAAAAAAGGGACTTAGGGAGACATGATAGCCTTCCAATATTTGAGGGGTTGCTAGAAATAAAGAGGGGATCAACCCAGGAGTGGGCTCCTGGGGGTTCCTTTAGCTAAGATTCTGTGCAGTTCAGAGAACCCCCAAATCCCACTCCTGGCTGGCCCCACCCTCCCCACCCCTCCAACCACCTGCTCAGGCAGGAGGTCCTACACCATTTCAGGCAAATGGCTCTCTAATCTCTTCTTAAAACTTCCAGAGTTGGGCTGGTGTTTCCAGTCACATGCTGGACCCAGCTTGTACTGGTTTGCAACAGCCAGTTGATATATTTTCTACAATGTTTGTGATTTGCTTGAGAGCAGAGCTGAGTTACAACCCCTAGTTATTAGTTATTCTCCAGGTAGCAACGAAGCCACAGAGATAGCTTCAAACATTTTCCATTGGCCATTGGTAGTTTCCTAATCTCAGCACCTTTGTAAAGTGTGAAGTTCAACTCCCAGAATTCACCCACCAATATAGCCATTGCTAAGAATTCTGGGAGTTGAAGTCCACATCTCTCAAAATTGTTGTGGTCGAGAACCACTAGTCTTGTGTGCGATGAGATCCCCGTTCTAACTAACCAAATCTACAGAAAAGCATTTTAATTTTTTTTGCATTTAAGGAACATCATTAATTAAAGTGATGATGTTGTGTTGAGATGGCTTCAACAAGGAAGCAACACTGCACTCATCAGTGGCAGGGAGATGCCAGTTAAATGCTGGATAGCCATTCCTTCCTTCAAGAGGACAGGAATCAAAGTTGGCCATAAGTAAATCTTTTAAGTGAATGAAATGACTTCCAAGTAATGCCATAGAAATGCATTTTGTGGTTTGTTTGTTTTTGTCCAATAAATCTAAAACTGAACTTGGGAACAGATTCATATCAGTGGTGGGATTCAAAATTTTTTACTACCAGTTCTGTGGGTGTGGCTTGGTGGGCATGGTGTGGTTTGGTGGGCGTGGCAGGGGAAGGATACATTCCCTCCCCACCCCACCATCCTGCTTTCCAGCTCCGTTCTCCTGTGCAGGGCAACCAAAGAAGACCCAGCCGATCAGCTGGGACTCAATGGGAGGCAGAGAAGAGGTGGGGTTGGCGGGGCCAGTCAGAGGTGGGATTGGCCGGTTCTCCGAACGACTCAAAATTTCCGCTACCGGTTCTCCAGAATCCCACCTCTGATTCCCATCCTAACAAACTGCCTGTATTGAGCAGAACAGAAATCCTGCACTCCATCCTGGGCTCTGGTTTCTCAAGACCAAATAGGCATCTCTGCTCTCACTGGTGGATGTTGTATGTTAGCTAAGAAATTCTCGCTCATTAAAAAAAAAAATACCAATTGTGATGTCAGGAGGGACAGCAGACATGAGGAGGCTTGTGTGTTGGAACAAGTCACTAGAAAGGAACATCAAATGTCGATTGTGTTAGGACAACTCTAATTCTCTACCATTCAGTGTAAATCCCTCAAACTCGCAGGACTGTTGCTGCCTGAAATATTGTCATTATTACGCCGAAAACTTTTTCCTGCTTCTTTTTTTCTCATTGCCACGGGAACGCCAAGCAGACCCTCCAGGCCAACCTCAGAACCTCACCTGTGTCTTCAACCTTACCTCCAAGAGCCTGGCCTGCCAATGGGACCCTGGCTGGGACAGCCTCCTCCCAACCCGTGTGGCCCTGAAGGGATTCCGGTAAGGACAGGAGACGAGCCGTTGCGGCCAGGCTAGGGCCAATGAGGGAGGAGGGTAGACTGCTTCCTGACCTTTAACTTGTAAAAAAGAAATCAGGATTTCTGGCTTAATAGAGCCCCTTCCTCCTTGGAATAAGGTTTGCAAGAGGTGGGCCCTTTCCCTTCAATATGGCCTTGCAATTCTGTTAGCCTCTCTGCGCATCACAGAGAGCACAGCTCCTTTCTAGCCCTCCCCCCTGACAGCTGTTCTTGGTGTTTCAGGAGCTCGAGGGAGTGCAAGGCCCTGACCCCCATCACAGATTGCATTCCTGAGCCTGGCCAGCACTCCTGCACCTTTCAACGCCTGGAGCTGCAGCTGTATCAAAAAATGCTTTTCTGGGTGTCTGTGGAAAATGCCCTGGGCAACGTGACCTCAGAGCGCTTGTGTGCAGACCCCATGGACCTAGGTGGGTGCCGACAGCAGGGGCAGGTTTCCCCTGCCCTCTTTTCTAGCCAGGTGGGGCTGAATCCCTGGGTGTCTGTGAGAAGCGGGGAGGGCTGCAATATTCAGAGGCCCAAATGAGAAGCAACCTGCCTTGCCTGGAAAGTTTCCGTCCCTCCCTGAGCTAGAAGAAAAGCTGCTCCTTGCAAATCACTCCGCACAAGAGAACTGCCCAGGGGGACTGTCTCCCCAGAGTCTCCAACCAGGGGTGGGATTCAAATTTTTTTTACTACCGGTTCTTCTGTGGGAGTGGCTTGGTGGGCGTGGCAGGAGGAGGTTAGCTGCAAAATCCCCCTTCCCTCCCCACCAGGGGTGGGATTCAACCGGTGTTACTACCGGTTCAGTACTTACGTTTTGCACGTACATTCTGGCTTCACGCATGCGTGTGTGTAATACGACAAAAGCCGTGCCTCCCGGAGCAGCTGATAAAAGCTGCGCACAGGTGCATATCATTTGAAAAAAGCCCCTTTTTGGGGGGGATTTTTCAGCCTCAGCTGTGCCACGCAAAGCAGCGGAGGCTGAAAAAGCAGGAAATAAAGGTCAGGTAAAAGCCCGGGTGGGTGGGTGGACCAAGCAGCCGCAGACACAGAACCGGTTCTGTGTCTGCTGCTCTTCAGAGCTACCGGTCTTACAGAGCTGGGCAGAACTGGTAGCATCCCACCCCAGCTGCCCACCCACTCACCTGCTTTCCAGCTCTGTTCTCCTGTGCAGGGCAACCAAAGGAGACCCAGCCAATCCGCTGGGAGTCCATGGGAGGCAGAGAAGAGATGGGGTTGGCAGGGCCGGTTGGCCGGTTCTCCGAACTGCTCGAAATTTCCACTAGCGGTTCTCCAGAACCGGTCAGAACCTGCTGAATCCCACCTCTGCCTCCGTCCCAAAGGTGCTTTTTGAAAAGGCAACTGGACTTTCTTTGTTTTTGTTTTTTCTTGGAGAAGTTTCTCTTCTCATCCAAGAAGTTCCTACAATTCAGAACTGGCTCCTTGGAAGAGAAGTGAAATTTCTTTAAGGAAAAACAAAGAAAGTCCAGTTGCCTTTTCAAAAAGCACCTTTGGGAGGCGCAGGGAGAGAGACCCCATCCTCCCTGCTCCCCAGCCAACAAAAAAAAAACCCTCTGGGAAGGAAGAAGGCAGGCTGGTTGCTATCGTTCTCTTTTCTCTCTACCCTGGCATCTCATGTCAATATCTAACAGCCATGACACTTTTTTGAATGTCGCACAGCTTTTGGGGGGGTGTTCCATTCTTCATCCTCTAAGACAGGGGTCCCCAACCGCCGGGCCGCGGACCAGTACCGGGCCGCGGAACAAGCCTTACCGGGCCGCTGGTTGCTGGGCGCCGCCATCTTTTTCGTCAAAAAAAGATGGCGGCGCCCAGTTGACGCCGGTACCGGGCCGCGGCGCCCAGCTGATGCCGGAACCGGGCCGCGGCGTTGAAAAGGTTGGGGATCCCTGCTCTAAAGAAGAGAGAAACTTCATTAAAGTCAAGACTTGGAGCAGGAACTTGGAGCAGAACCTATTGATGGTTTCCAAAGGTCAAGGTGGGGATCAAATCTGTTCCAAATCCCCCTCAAGAAGATCCAAGGTGTCCCTTTTGATGGACATCCCTTTGGAGGCGACCAAGTATCGTTGGTGCGGGTGGCACAATCATTTCAGGCCCTGGGAGAAGCCCTTCCCTTCCTCCCCAATGCTCTTTCCTGTTACTGCTTGATGTACGTTTTACCCTTTTAACTTGGTTGTTCAGGGTGGTGATGTCACTCTTCTTGCCACCTCTCCTTGGGGTGGCTTTGGAGGTTGGCATTGAGATACTTCAATCAAAGTACCAGGCTCTCTCTCACCCCCACATTGTTCCTTCTAGCCTGGCTGGAGCCCCCAATCATCCAGGACATCAGGCCCCTCTTCGAGGAGAGCGACTGCATGGAGGTCAAATGGGAGGCCGCGAAGGATAGCGAACTCATGGAACAGGCCTGCGACCTGCGCTATCGGGTGGAGGGCAGCCTGGAGTGGAGCCTTGTGAGTCCCTCTTTGGCTTGACAACAGAATGGCTTTGCTTGGTAGGACCCCTCTGTGAGGGGGGGTCAAAGCCAAGGCCCCCTTGGCATGGCTTCCCCTTCTATCCCTGTCCCAAGCCCTGTGCTTCAGGCTTTGGGCCCTTTCTGGTGGCCACGGCCACCCATAACACCTTGGCCCTCAACTCAAAGGCCTTTTTGTTCAAAGCATGTCTGGCCTCTTCCTGGGGGTCCTGTGGGCTGCGGGGAGAGAAGGGGGCAAGGGAAGGAGGCTTTCCATGGGCCCGCTTCTCCCATTCTCCCTTTCATCCCAGGTTCACAACATCACCACCTCCAGCCGGCGGATCCAGCAGTGTGGCTTCCTCTTTGGCAGCCTCTACCGCTTCCACATGCGCTGCAGGCGCCTGCATCTCAGCTACTGGAGCAGCTGGAGCCCAGCCAAGCTCTTCACTACCGACGAGAAAGGTGGGGAAGGGGACGAGTCCTGTGTCTCTCCCACCCCCTGACCCCACAGATAGCCAAGCCCTCTAAGTCCCCGGGGTAGCCAGGGCGTTGGGACAGGTCGGCCTATCCAGGTTGAGGAACCGCTTTCTTTGATCATATCCACCGG